GCCTTGTGGTCGAGCCGCAGACATCCCTTCTCCGCCAGCGAGTGAAGAGTATCGGTATCGGTCTTACAGATCGGGTTGAGGGTCCTTATGACTTGCGAATCCATCGTATCTGGGCTACCAACGGGATCAGCGAAGAAGAGTTCGAGGATGAGAAGCGAATCTGTGGTGCGGATGCGCTGCCTATCGATGAGGGAGTCAGAACTGGCTGGAGGGGCGACTCTCCTTCCGGCCATCCTGACGACAAGGGTAATCAACCTGGAGGAGCAGGAAAGACGAAGGGTTTGAAGGGGTTGCGCTCAGAGTGGGAACAATGATCTACTGTATATCGAAATTCTATGTATTTGTACTATACTAATCGTACAATAACTTATTCTCTCATAGACGCTACCGATAACTATTCATTTGATCGGAAGCTGCGATTCGATGTCGTTGTTCGTGGGCCATTTAGTGTGATCTAATTACCCCCCGTGATCCTCTCCCAAGCCTCCCTGTACTTCTCAGCAGTCTTCTGTACGACCTCTTCTGTCATCCGGACTCCCTCCTTGCCTTTCAATCCCTCCTTAACGAGCCAATCCCGAAGGAATTGCTTGTCAAAGCTCTGCTGGCCGCGGCCAACTTCGTAGTCATCCTTGGGCCAGAAGCGAGACGAGTCGGGCGTCAGGACTTCGTCAGCCAAAACAACCTCATTGGTTTCCTCGTCGACACCGAACTCGAATTTCGTGTCCGCGATGATGACACCGCGTGACAGAGCGTAGGCGTGTGCGGCCTTGTACAGCTGTACAGCGAGGGAAGCAACGGTCGAGGCATGCTCACCAAGAATGGCAGCGGCTGTACATCCCGACATGGTTAGCTTTGGGCACAATGCAAACTGGTAGACGCTCCGGAAGCGAGGAGGACCATGCGTACCTTGATCGGGGTGGATGTTCTCGTCATGCTCGCCTTGCTCAGCCTTGGTGCTGGGAGTGTAGATGGGGCCATCGGGGAAGGCCTCGCTCTCCCTCAGACCCGGAGCGACCTTGATTCCGTGCACGGTACCGGACTTCTTATACTCATTCCAAGCGGATCCAGTGATGTAACCCCGGACGATGGCTTCGATGGGAAGGATTCTAAGCTTGCGCACTTGCATGCTTCTGTTCTGAAGCACTGGCCGAAGTGAAGGAGGGATCTGGGGCGGGAGGTCGAGCGTAATGAAATGCGTGCGCAGAGAGGGGATAGCATCGGTCAGGATCTTGAACCATGCTTTTGTGCATAATGTGAGAAGAACACCCTTGTTTGGGATACCCTGAAAAGACAATCGTTAGCAGATCTAATATGGAGAACTAATGGCGCGTTCAAGACGAAGAACCGTACATTCTCCATGATCACATCGTATGCGGAGATGCGATCAGTTGCAATGAAGAGAAGAGTCTTGTCATCGACTTCGTAGAGATCGCGGACTTTGCCTCGGGCAATTAGGGGCAGCGCACCCTGCAGATCCGTGTTTGTAACTTCGGCCATGACTGTAATTGCACGAATGAAGAGTTGCAGTAGTGATAATCTCAAGATGTGACTAAAAGCGAGTCATGTCCCGATAAACTATAAGTTTTTTGGCGGGGTCTACTATCAATTGATTTATGCCTCAGGCATCAACTGGGTGCCTTGCAAAATCCCTTTACAATGAAGCTGCTGGATGAATTGAACCAAGAGAGCACATTCCATAGGAGTTGCTTTGAACCTAGAACCGATCAAATTTTGTGTGCTCGATATCATTTGATCCTATGGTTCTCCATGATTAAGCTCAATTGTTCGCACTCAGACGCGGTGTGTTTGTATACAAAGGACGCGCCGATGGTTTCATCGCGCAGCGAAGTTCCAGCATAGTCCTTTCATTTTTGGATGGAACTCTCTCCGGCAAAGGGTGTTAACTATGCAAAAGAGGAATTAGATAAAAGAGGAAGAAGAAGAAGAAAAGAGATACAAGATGAGTCGCTATCTGACGCCCTCGAAGATCGCTCTTCTGTGCCTCATATCCATTTACACCGATGGAGTCGTTCCCAACTCCTCCGCAATTCACGTCCTTTCGTTTCTTATGTCATGTCTCAGTCCCTTGGGACCAGACGCATCTTTATCTCTGAACAGAGGGGATAGCAACTATATCGTCGCCATTGACGACCTGGAGGACGCCCTTTCGTCCAAAGCTTCCTCGATCCCTGGCCGTTCGATTTGGGATTTGTTTCTCAAGAAGATCTGGTCCATTGATTCTTGTGACGCTTTGGAGGTATTTTTCAGTGAGATCAGCGCTATTCTTGTCAAGTCTCGAGAAGAACAGATCCGCGACAGGGATAATGGTCTGGCGCCTGAGACCGGTCCTATGCGACTTTCAAGATGCTCACCACTCGGTGCGTTCGTGAGAAGAGCCCAGCTCGAGTTTACTAGGCTTCAGTTCCATGACTCTGTCAAGCTTTGGAAGGGCTTCGTGCATTACCGTCTCCCCACGTACCGTGTGTGGTCAAAGAAGAATCCATCTGCTGAACGGGACCCCGTGGACATCAATTTGCTAGAGCTCAACTTGGACTCCACGAGCCACCTCGCTCAAGTGGCTTATGGAAATATTGAAATCCATGAGGAGGATGGAACCTACGTCAGCACTAAGGATGTCGAACGACTGCTGGAGTTTCAGATTGGCGAGCTACAAAGTACGCAGACGTTCCCCGTGAAGTTGGATAGTCATGATGCACACTTGCTAACGGAGTGCAGGGCTTGGAGGAAGAGTCCCAGATGGCATGAAAGTGCAGCTAGAACGTATCATGACGTCTGGCGTCGCAATACCCAACCTGACTTACTACCTAAGGTGAGACCGAGTTCGCGCAAAAGCCCCGCCATCGCTGACGATCTGTAGATTCCTCGATGCATGGAGAGCCGGAGACTACCCCTCATCCTTCGACAACCTTCACAGATACTTCGACTACACAATGCATAGTCGTGACCGGAGCTCATACCAATATGCGCTACTCAACCTCGCGATCCTCCAGGCTGATTTTGGATGCTATGGAGAAGCTGTTTCTGCAATGCAAGAGGCTGTCTCGATTGCCCGAGAATCCCACGATACGAACTGTCTAAACTTTTGTATGAGCTGGCTGTATCACTTTGGCAAAGCCTTCCCTGAGCAGATGAAAGATGTTCAGAATACGGGAATGCTAGGAAACGAGAAGGAAGGTCTTGCTTTCCTGAAGGCTAAAGCGAAGGAGACTGAGATGTGGAGTCTGCTAAGCACTACATTGTTGAGTGAAGCCAAACTCGAGCTGCAAAACGTGAGCATTCCTGCGTACCATCGTTCTTATCCACAATCCTGACAATACCAGGGTGAGAGTCTTGCATCTTCAATGGAGAACATCGTTCGGGCGTCACATCTCAATGTTACAAAAAATTTGGTGACATCGATGGGCCCACAGCTTCTGCTACAGACTGCGCTTTATGCCAGAATTGGTACCAGACCTACACATGCGGATTTTTTTTCCGGTCCAGGCTCTAACTTCTGCAGGTGTTACCCATCTATCATGGTTGAGCAGCGAAATATTTCGCGAATGCTACGCAAACAAGTCACCATTCGAGGACTATTTGAAGAGTACCTTCCGTAGCTGTCAACTTGTAGGCCAGTTGTTCCCCAGCTTTCTGATATCTACCTTCTGACATTCTCTCCAAAAGTTGGCGCAACAGGGTCGCTACGCCGATATCTCAGCTCTTATAAATCAGGTTACACCAGAAAAGCTACGATCTCTCAGAGCGAATCAACAATGGACGTTCTTCTCTGGTATACTGCAACTAAGACGGCACATCTGTCGGTATGTTCTCTCCTGGCTCATTAGAAGATATGGTTTCTAACAACGAACTAGGGACGACAAAGTGGCAGCAGACTACCTACTCTCCCAGCTTCAAGCGATTCAGCTCCCTGACAATGATGCCTCTCTTCTCCTATGTTTCCTTTCAATTGAATACAAAATCCGACAAGGCGACTATGGCCGGGCCTTGGAACTCGTCGAGCAGACGGCTCAATCCATGCACCAGGACAACTTCGACATCCATTCTCAGGTGAAGCTGCTTTGCTTCAAAGCGCGCATCTTCGAGAAAACGGGTCATCCACAAGGAGGCTTCTCCCTGGCGATGCGAGCCGCCAGTATCGCGCACCGCTCCCGGCTTTTTCCAGGTCTCTGGGAAGCAGTCTGCGTGCTTGGTGGGGTCCTGCTGAGTCTGCGAGAATTTGAAGCTGTGAACGAGATGGTTGAGAGCATCATGCCGCAGGTTCTCGAGACCGACGACTGTGATCTAGCGGCGCGGGCGTACTCGCTTCTCGTGGACGCAAATATGGGCATGGCTGGAAAGGTGTGGAGTCAAGGACAGGACACGCCCGCTAAAAAGGAACACATGAACCGTGCCCTTGGTTACCTCGACTGCGCCTACGACCAATACGAAGAAATCGAAGACATCAAGGGACAATGTGAGATGATGGCCAAGAAAGCCACGGTGATGCACCTCACAGGCGACTTGGTCCTTGCGAATGACTACGCGGCTAAGTACCTGGATCTGCAGAAATTGAGTGAGAAGGGAATATAGCATGCATTGCTAGTGTATAGTACCACATTTGCGTTATAACGAACAGTTATGGTGAAATCGTGAGAGCAGACAAGTCCTTTCGTAGAGCAGACTGAACTGCGGCGCGGCAGGAGCATATCCATGGGACGGCCCCGGAAAATCAGTCCAAGTCCTTACCTATAGGGCTGAAGGCGCATTCTACTCATTTTCCGAGAAGCCTAGGACGAGAGGGAAGACGTGTGTAACAAAAGGAAATCAATCAGCGTTGGTCTTGTAACTCCTAGTCATTTCACCAAAAAAAGCCCCAGTGCACACTCTCACAACGACTTCCGCCCCGATTTTGTGCAGTAAATATACATGCTTTCAATTCCTCTCGTTGTGAAGCCGAGATCGATCAATGGAAGCTGTTGTCCTTATCTACCATAAGGAATTTAGGTAGCCTTGTCCTTGTTGTGGTAGTTGACCTGGTCGTTCCAGCTATAGAACAGTCAGCGAATGAACCATGACCGTGAACGGAGAACGGGCAGAAATCCAGAGTATAGACGAAATGGCCGCTCCACAAAAACTATTCAATGGATTGAAGACTTACAAAATGGTCTGCAGAAAATCACCAGTCAGCAAATAAACCATTGAGAAATCGTACTAGATGGCACTAACCTTGTCTCCATCACCGAAGGGGAAGTTCTTGACACGGATGTTCTGGTAGGGGTACTCGGTACGCTCCTCGAGAGGAGGCATGTGCTCCCAGTGCTCCCAGTGCTCGTTCCAGAGGTTGTAGGCGTTAATGCCCCCGAGGATCAGGCAGGGAATGACGGCACTAGGCATCAGTGAGTAAAGTGTTCGAATGGTTCGCAGAAAAAAGACACCAATTGCGTCAGATAACACATACTAGATGGAGAGCTTGCGCCAGAGGTCTGGAGGGCAATTGAGTCAGCATCATGCATATTATGTCCGTAGCATCATCCACAAAATTCCTCGGGGCCAATTGGAGTATACGAACCACTGGTGGCAGCAGCATGGTGCTTGACAGCAGCTCTCTCGCGGTTAAACGAGTTGTCAACCATCCAAGGAAGCTTGTTGTCGGTGCTGTTGAGGCGGCGCTGGAAAGCAGCGCGAGCAGGAGCGCTACGCAGCTGCTGAGCAGCGCGGAGGATGTTGCGTTGAGGGAACATGGTGCTGAGGGGCAGTCGAACGGCTGTTGCGTCTCTGTTCTGCTTTGACAGTGGGATTATACGGACGTCGGGCGTTCCGGCTTAACGAAGCAAAGCCGGTTTAGCGTCCCCGTGATTCGTCTGCGGGCAGCTATTAGTTCCTTAGTCATCCATCAGGCCATCATCGCGTGATGTCACGGCGCCTCCATGTCACGTGCTGTCACGGGATCGTATAGCTGCAGCTACTGCCGTAGGATGAACAAGTACCACGAATCGATTTTATTGAAGGAGATGAAGTAGAATTCTCAGATTTAGATATTCTCCGAACTCTGGCTGTCCGTGCTATGTACGCTTGGAACACGCTTCACAGCAACCGCGATGGGGTTTCGCATAACAACATGGAACGGTAAGCATGATCGATAGTGGAAACCAGTTCCCTGCTGGATACTCGGACTGAAGATTGATTTGTTTAACAGTGAACGGGATACGGTATGCATTGTAGACATACTCACTGGTAAATCGTGTGGAGCTGAGACCTAGCAGGAATCCGTTCTCGTATGAACCATGGAGAGGCAGCCGAACCTTCGAGGTAGATTTACCCAAGGTCCTTCATAGTCTGAAAACGAGAGGCTCATCATAGAATAGTCAATGTTTGATATTCTCGAGGCAGATATTGTCGTTTTTCAGGAGACCAAGATTCAACGAAAAGATCTCCGCGATGACATGGTGCTAGTAGCTGGCTGGGACTGCTACTTCAGTTTACCAAAAACCAAGAAAGGTGCGCACTATAAGATATCAGGCACGTCGTTCAGTTCTGACATTTTCAGGATACTCCGGAGTTGTGATATACACTCGAAATGCGACATGCTGTCCCATCCGCGCAGAGGAAGGACTTGCGGGAGTTCTCTGTCCGCCCAATTCGTCAGTGTCTTTTCGAGACCTGCCTGAAGACCAACAAATAGGAGGCTATCCAACCATTGAGCAGTTATCAGAACTAGAGGTTGATGCAGCTACCCTGGACTCGGAAGGTCGTTGCGTCATTCTAGAGTTTCCTGCATTCGTTCTACTTGGAATTTATTCACCAGCCAATCGCGACGAATCACGGGACGATTTCCGCCATAGCTTCATTGACCTGATGGATGCTCGCATCCGAAACCTGGTTGCGATGGGAAAGAGAGTCTTTGTCACAGGAGACCTTAACATTGCGAAAGGGGAAATTGATGCAGCTCATGCTACCGAGGCCATCAAGAAGGGAAAAATGACAGAGGACGAGTTTATATCTGCTCCGGCACGGCGCGTCTTCAATCAACTGCTTTCTGACGGCAGAGTAATTGGCCAGCGCGATGAAGGGAGGGAGAATCCTGTTTTATTTGATGTCTGTCGGTCGTTTCATCCCGGTCGAAGGGGAATGTACACTTGTTGGGAGCAAAGAATCAACGCTCGACCCGGGAATTATGGCGCGAGGATAGACTACGTCCTGTGTAGCCTGGATATGCAAGATTGGTTCAGCGATTCGAATATCCAAGAGGGCCTAATAGTAAGCCCCGAGGTTGCTACGGCTTGTTTGCAGAGTGATTTTCCAGCTGACTTTATGCAATTGGAACAGGGATCCGATCATTGCCCAGTTTATGCGGTCTTCAAGGACGTCGTACGTCTTGGTGAAGAAGAGGTCAACATTCTCGACATAATGAACCCTTCCGGGATGTTCAAAGATGGCAAGCGTCTGCAGGAATACTCTACTAAATACCTTCTACCTACGTCGGGACGCTTGATACCGGAATTCGACAAGCGGAGAAGCATCAAGGACATGTTCTCGCGTAAGCCATCAACCAACGTACAAACACCAACAACGAATGCCCCGACGTTGAGACGCTTTGCCTCTGCCCAGGAAACGGAAACGTCAACCGCTATTTCGGAGAGCGCTGCCAGCCGGTCCGCAGCAGTTTCTGATAGCACTCAAACGAAACAAATCGTTCGTAAGAGGTCTCAGAAAAGTGAGACTGGTTCCCCTGTCTCTGTCAAGCGTTCGAAATCCGGCTCAGCTCAACCATCAACACCTTCCACTGTTGGACAGAGGACTCTAAAGGGGTTCTTCAAACCTAAACGTGATCCGGCCGACCAAGCGACCATAGCCCAGGATTCTGCATCGGTGTCTACTTTACCAACGAAACAATCAGCCGCGTCCCCTACGAAATCCACCACAGTTACGGAACCTGCTGCATTGGAAGCATTACCGGCGGCTCCCGCGGGTGAAGTTTCACGGAATGAACAGCCAAATCCCGCGACTCCTACCACTCCCGCTTCGTCCCAAAACGATGATACAGTGATCGACCCCATTGTCAGCAAGGAGGATTGGTCAAAGCTCTTTACTAAAAAGCCTGTTCCCAGGTGCGAGAGTCACCAGGAACCATGCATCAGTCTGACAACTAAAAAACCTGGCATCAACTGCGGAAGGTCGTTCTGGATCTGTCCGAGGCCACTTGGGCCCAGCGGAAACAAGGAAAAGGGGACGCAGTGGCGATGTCCTACATTTATATGGGCCAGCGATTGGAACCCTTCCGCTCCGTAGGTTTTCTGTCTGAGGCTACCGTCTTTTTTTGATAGTGTAACGATACCCCGGTTTCGTACGTAGAAGACTAGGAATGGTATGAGATATCATGGTTTCGGAGATGAGACAGCTGGTACGGAGTAGATTGAGACTTCTCGAGGTCTATCAGACTGTAAACAAAAGCAACTATGGGACGAAAAGGATGGTCAGCGAGCTGATTTTCGGGAGTACTTGGCCGGATTGAAGACTACTTATCGTCTCTCTTTTAAGGCGAACGCATAGCAGTCGATTTTCCTCAAGCAAGAATCAAAAGGACCTCGTGGCCCCTGAGGGATTGCATGTACCGGGGTCCACGGAAACAAGCATACCGGAACCGGATATGACAGGTGCACGGCTCTCAAGCGGTTGCGGCATGCAAGGGCCCGCCAGGCCTCGCAGACCACCGTGCAGCATGTCTTACAACTTGATCTAATTAAACAGGCTGCAGAGGCTATCGGGTAACCTTGAACAGCAAGGGGGGCGGTGCTCGGGTCGCAGACACGTTTGAACTTACTCTCGACCTCGAGCATCAGCTGGCCAGATGAGAAAAAAGAGTGGACTCTCGAGATAACACATATTTATTAACTCCGTTCTTTGTATTTGTTTGTCTGTTATGTCCTAACTAAGTGACTATCTAGAAGTCGGATATTCTCGGAGTAATTACACTGAATCATCTGATATCTTCTGAAAACAAGTCTCCAGAGTTGTCAGAGATCCTTCCATCGCCCAGGATAAAAATTAAAAAAAAAAAAGGTCCGCGCCGGTATGGTACAGTGTCAAAGGCCACGATGTATCGAAGCCCTCAGCTAGAGGTGCGATTGTAGAAATGTACACATGTTGCTTGCTCAAGTAACAACAACAGAAGAGGCAAAAAGACAAGCAGAGAAGAAGCACATGTTTCAGTCCATCTTAGAAGCAATCAGAGATGAAGTCAGTGAACTCAAAGTTCTCTCCGATCTCACCCTCCGGAAGGCTGAGTTGCTGGCAGAGGGCAGTCTTGTTGTAATCGTTCTGCATCTGATGCATGAGATCGAACGCATTTGGTTCAAAATGATACTGCTGGTCCTCCGGCATGCAGGGAGGAGTCATGATGGCATCCATACCTGGAACACCTTTAAATGCAGCATTAAAATCAATCTCGCCCACTGTCATGCCCCGGAGAATGACAGGAGTGGAGACATCAGACGAGACGTTCGTCGAAGCCGAAGTATTGAGCAACACAGCAGGCTTGGTGTTTTTGGAGAACTGACGAGATGAAGCACGACGCTTTCTCTCAGAAGGCTTGCGAGGGGTGTAATGATAGTCCGGATGGTCTTCGGCGTGCTTCTTCTTGAGCTCTTCTGCTAGGTTTCGGAATTGGGACTTGACCTCTTCAGCTTCGTCTTTCCACTGCTTCCCAAGCATTATGGCTGTGTATATTAGTGAATATAATCGGAAAAAAGTGTACAGACAAGCGACTTACAAATGTCGTTGTTCGAAAAGTCGGGATATGCTTCCTTGATCTTGGGGTGGTGATGCTGACGATACAGGATGAAAGCGTTCGGAGGACGCGGGACCTTCGGCGCCTTCATAGGTCCTGCAGGTTTTCCGCGACGTTTGAAGGACGCAGTTGCATCAAGCTTGTCTGCCTTGAAAGCTGCATCGTGGGATGCAACCGAGATAGCTGTTCCGGAAAATGCTGGGGTGCGCATAACACGGAGAGCTTTGATCGACTCGTCAACGAAGGCCACAACAGGTGCGCCAATGAGTGCACTGTCATTCCGTGTTATCAGTCAAGCTTGAGAGTGACTCTAGAGTAGACACTTACCCAAGACGAGTTTTGATCTTGTCGACATTGTCCTGGCCGATCATGTCGGTCACATTGATAGGGAGGAGGACCTCATTGTTCGTGGATTCGAGGTGACGCAAAGCATCCTGCCACAAGAGCTCTGTGAGAGTGTCGGTAGATTCCGCTGCCGACTTCATGGCGATTGGAACTGTAGCCATTTCTGATCTCGGCCTGCAGACAGGATTATTGCGAACAATGTTGAGATCTTGAAGGATGGAACTCCGCTGCGCAACTGTCGACTTTGAAGAGCGTCGAAAAGCGAAGGAAGAAGGCTAAAATAAAAGGTATCTTTTGGACAGCATAAAGGGTTAGAAATAAAGCATGCTATATGGGTGAGCAAAGTCGAAAGACTTTGTAAGACATGGCAAATGAGGCTGGTGTTCAGACTTGAGGGGCAGGTTGGCGGGTTTCTTTGTTTACTTAGGTGAATGCTTGAAGACATACCACTTTTTCTCCCAGCCTCTGACCATCCAGTTCCTCTTTACTCCAGTAAACAAACACAAAAGCCTCCTAATCTCTCTCATTTCAAGTCTTCTACCTCGACATCTTCTCAACTCCCTTGTCTTTAGCACTTTCTCAACTGTTCCTCTCTTCGCTCTACGAACGATCCTCATCAAAGATTCTCCATCAGGCTTCGTGTATCTCAAAGAATCTCATATTAACGGCATCTTCAATATGGATTATGAACGAGATGTTCTTCTGTGGTATCTTGGTACTGTCGCTGACAATGCCCGTTATCCGCCAGACTTGAGAGACAAGGCTACTCACATCATCGTTTCCTTCATGCGTCACAGAAATGCTTACAGACTCCTGGCTCAGGCTTCTGAATTAGCCAGAGGAGAGCTAGTTATGTACCCCTTTCAGCAGGCCGGTAACATTCCCAGAAACATTGGGCTCCCTGTCCGGCGTTTCAGTCAAAACATTCGCGCAATTACGACTGCTTTTGGCATTATCCCAACCAACGAGGACTACGAAGGTCAACCAATCGAGCTCATCAGTATCCTTGATCCTGCTGTTGAGGGAAACATGAATGACAACCAAAAGCTACAGTTCCACCGCGCACTTCTTGTCAAGGAAAGACAAGCAAACGCCGATCTCGCGAGATGCGTTCAGCGCTACGGTTACCACTACATCTTCAGAGCCGGTCTTCAGCAGTACTACATGACGTATGTATTTCTGCACATTTTTATTTTTATCTTGCTTACAGGTTTAGCAAAAATGTCGTGGAGATGCTCAATTTCTGGACTCCGGATCCTCGCGGTAATGCCTATCGTGTTCGTGTCCAGCGCATCTGCTATGCTGCCATCGAGAGGCGTCTTCGACTCAACAATCTCGAGAAAACGCTCCTCATCAGAACGACTCGCTCCCTGCCTAATGATGCGTTACGCTTCTGTAAGTACATCTGTGCTCTACTGTCGGGCTTGCTAACTCTTGGTTAGGGGCTTGGATTGAGAGAAACCGGGTTGCCTACAACGCGATGAAAGCCTGTATTTTGCTGCTGAACCGTCTGAACTGTAAGGATTTTATGACTTCGGACGTGAAAGATAATACTAACTTTTCCTTAAGAGACAGCTTCATAGCGTAAATCAGCTGTCACCTTTCCATTCATCACACTTTCTTCCGGTACATTCAAGCATCTCTCCTGTACTTCGACGAAGCATTTTGTACCAGAAGGCGATGCTCGACGATGTCTCATCAATCTACTCGTGCACACCACTTTAACTGTTTCAGTATTCGCTCTTTTCATTTTCCCATCGGCGTTTCGGGGCAAATGGCGATTACCAAGCGAGCGTGATTCTTCTTTGTGACGACATCAGCCTTGCGATGCACAACGACTTTCAATGATTTGGGGCTTTCATGATTCTACATTCGACATCAAGTGGCCTAGCTTATGGATGTCTGGCGCTGTTTCCGTTTGTTATCTGTTTCGAAGGGTTCCGTCGGGCTTGCAGTTTACAACGATGTCATGATCTTTATTTCCTTCCTTGTTTCCATGAGCACCAATACACTTCTCATCGAGGTCTTTCCTATCGATGGTTCAATCAATTAGCATAGCTTAGCTAGTTCAAAAGACCAAAAAAATAATGATAATTGTTTCCAGGTACTTCGTCGCTCCCACAAGTAAGATAGATCGCTCTTTTCAAATCACTGACTTCTATCTTCATTGCGGCCTTCTTCGTGGTATATGCACTTTAGCATTTCATAAAGGACGGGCTCATTTCTATTCCTAGGCTGAATCAGAGTACCGTCTTTGATCAAAAATTCGCAAATTCCCTCGATTTCCTAGGGACAAACACATGGTCGACCCAGCAAGCCAGCCACCTCGAAGCTCCAGACCCGCAAAGGTATGGAGTACATCGTAGCTTCACAGAAGCGAAGTCAATCCAGCCACCCATATCCAACCGGCTTTTTCCTTTTAGTTTACATCAGTGAAAGATCTCAAGGTTCTTAGTTCCAGTCACCTTCGCCACTGTTCTGTCATTCGTGAATTCGAACGAAGTAGAAGGTCGGTATTTATCTTCTACCCAGCCATCCCCAACGACAGACCAATCCACTTGTTTCCAGTCTTACTAGCCACCAGCTACGCAGAGGTGTGTGGAGAAGCTCGGATGAAAGCTGGAGACAGTCGTTCACTCGTTGCAAGATCCATAAAGCTACCTGCCACCACGAGCCGGAATCAACATGCTTCAACCTTCACGAGATCGACACAAGGACCCGAGCACAAACCCAGCCAAGGACAAGGTACGCCACCAACATTACTCTGTCACAGTCACAGTTCTTATCTGTATCACAATTGAACCACACAGAACACACCAGCCCAACCAATCAAGTCTCTTACCAAGAACAGAAGCCAGAAGAAAGAAACCAACCCAACGCAAGACGGCCTCGCGGTCCATCCAACCGGCCCCTACCCCCGCTCTTTTCACCAACTTAACTGACAGACCTACAACCCAGTGCACAAAGACTCACGTTGTCCAAAGAGCAGGTCAGTATCCACCGAGCCCAGCTCGCCGGAATAGGAAACCATTTACAGGGTCCAGACGTACAAAATTGCTGACTCGCACGTCAGACAATTGCAGGGATACGCCGAGAAGTTAGAACCACCACCCAAAGCTGAAGCCAAAGCCAGAGCGCGAACGAGAACGATCTGCGC